ACTATTGTTAGGTATGAACGCTCCCTGATATACATATGGATACTAGTTTGAATTATTTGTAAAATATTACTTTAGTATATCTGAATACCACATAGAGACGCCTTAAATATTTGGTGTATACAGCCCGCAGTGGTGGATTATATCAGGTGTAGCTCGTCAGGCGGGCGTTTGAGAGGACCAGGTCAGCAGGGAACAATAGGGGTCCTTCACAGATCTGCCTCAGGAATTTAAAGGTTTCCTACTTTATATTTCCCTCCTAATATTATTAATTTGGATAAGGTAACCCATATTCTTGCAATTTCGACGTCAATATAGCCCCCAATTATGCGCTGGAGGTTAAGTGAGCCATTTCATGCTGTTTCACATCTCCAATTAGAGGATGAATTTAATAACGAGACTGAGAATTCGAACCTTCTCCCAGTGCTCCTCCGCGGCCATCACTCTCCGTCCCTAGGGAGATCAGATCGCCTTGAATGGAATTTCGCTTTCATTCTCTTATTATTTTGACTTATTCAGAGAAATAATAACATTGACTAATTAATAGATAGTAGTCAAGTTTAGGGAGGGTAGGTCTTTATTCAATCTAATAATGTAAATGAAAACTGAATGGGAACACATGAGTGAAGAATAGTGGTAGTCTTGATGAATTGTCCATTATATCTACGGATCATATTAACATTGTTTACTGCCTTCTTGTACCGTAAACCACTCCGCCTCCAGCCTGGGGAAGCCGCTGTGTTGTAGCCACACTTAATCCCGCTCCCTGGGTCGTGTACCTCGATGCCACCATTGACTAGGAAGCCATGAGATTTGAAATACGTTTTACCAAATTGAAAAATAATAATAATACCAGAATTAGTAAACAACATTAGTTTCCGCAAATAATACAAGTAAATGATAGATATAGTATTGATAACTGAAAGACCTAATTTGAGGATGTACTGGCGGATAGTAGGCCTAAATTATAATACATTATCCTACACCAGACACCTCTCTTTTTTGTAGGGAACTGCGACCAATCACAAAACATCTCACAAATATTTTCCTTAGCACCACATCGCCTAAAGGTGTTCCAAGGAGTTAAAAGTAGGTCAAAGACAGGCACAAGAGGTCAGTTTTTAGCTGGAGGTCACTGAGAGAAGGTGATCCATCGTTCGAGAGATTGACCCAACTAGCTACGAAGGTACAGTAATTCTCTGCCTCTGACACACAGTAACCTAGCCTAACCTAACCTAACCGCGAGATAAACAACAAATTCTTGGATTCGTTTTCACTATGGATACAACTTTTACATCCGGCGAAAAATATCTTGGTGATGTTACATAAATATTCAAAGCTTAAGCTGGACTCAGTGTTTACAGACTAGTTAGGTAGACTGAGGCTTATTTATGTTTATTTGTGTTGAGTAAATAATGTTTATCTAGAAGGCAATGGTTCATGAGGTGTGTCAGCGCCAGCTGTTCAGAGTGAGTGAGAGTGAGTGTGTGAGTTACTGTGACTGTAAGTGTTAGTGAGAGTGAGTGTTGAGTGTGTCAATGTGAATGTGAATGAGTGTGTGTATGCGTGAGCCTGATTGTGAGTGTGTGAGTTTGTGGCTGTGACTATGAGTGTGAGTAAGTGTGTGAATATGAGTGTGTGTGACTAACCGTGAGTGTGAGTGAGTGAGTCTGAATTTGTAATATAATCAAAAGAAGTTTTATAGAAGTGATTAAAGAGACATAAATATTTAGAAAGAATAAAACAGAATATCACATATGTCTTAAGTTATTGTGAGCCATTGTCTTAGAACCTCAAATATTAACAAATGATTATCTGTGTTTTCAAGACATCTCTCTCTCTCTCTCTCTCTCTCTCTCTCTCTCTCTCTCTCTCTCTCTGTAACATTACCTGAAGGAAAGACATCGTTCGGTGTAATATTACCGATAATATTTTTTTTAAGTGGTGACACGATGGAGTAAAGGATTCAAGGAGAGTAAGACGTGTTAAGCGAAAATTTATCCATTCGTTGATAATAATGCACAATATGGTCTTCCCTTAACCCCTGACCCTTCAAGACAGTGCTTTGGCCCATCGTGGAGTTACTTATGAAGCTACATCAGTCGAACGTTTGCCTGTCTTCTGCCTGTTTTTACCCCACATGAGACTTTAATCTTACCTCAACAGATGAAGGTCGTGCTCCTCCTGCTAGTGGTGATGGCTGGTGTCCTGGCCCAAGAAGACCCCAGCAAGTCTTACGATGTTTCCGTAGACAACCCTCCGCCACCTCCCCCTTCCCAGCAGCCCGGCAGCCATAACTTGCTGTTCGGGCCACCTCCTCCCCCACCAGGAGGTCCTAACTTCCAGTATGGACCCCCTCCTCCGCAGTCCAATGGGCCAAGCCTCATGTATGGCCCTCCCCCGCCCCCTTCTTCTGTAGACTATAAAAATAAACCCTCTTATGAGAAGTGAGTAAATATTCCTTGTGTTATATAGTACATGTTCCAGTTTTAGTGTGACTGTGGTTGGTTATGTGTACTTACGTGTGTACAAATGCGTGTGTACGTATCCTTATATATTGTGTTTGTGGTAAATATTCCAACTTTGTGTTTAATGAATGTAGTTATTGATGTATCGTTTATTTTTTTGTCTTTCATTTTAAAATATTTATTGTTTATGCATGCGTGTATCTGTATCTTTCTCTTACTTCATAATCTTACTATATTCAATTCGAACGCCAAATAATTTTTCTTCCTATACATCTTCATTACTTATCATATTTATTCTGTTTATTATAAAGGTATGTAACACAAAATTTTTACCCATAAAATTGCTTTTTTTACAAACTTTATAATTAAAACATTACTTTGCTCAGCGAGTTCTGTCATAAAACAAACAATCTTAAACTTGCGTTTTCTATGTTAAATTTTTGAGGAAAGTTATATTATACTTTTAAAACAAGGAAAGTAAACCAATGAAACCTAACCTTCTCTACCTCAATTATCTTATATCTTGGGTGAGTCCCGTCAAGTTAGGTTTGTTTTGTCTGTTTTAAGTGCCTGAAACCCTAGCGGCTATGATGGAACTGGACCGAGGTACTGAGCTTCGTTTTATGCCAAGAGCGCGAGAAGTGTTAGAATTGTTGCGTTCCTTCTTTCCTTATTTCATTAAAATGCATGTGTCATGTCTACATCAGTTATTTTCAGAGTTGTAGACATGTGTCTTGGCTCAGTAATGGGTAACAAATTAAGAGCTACAACGCACTTTGTTCTCCTCTCTCTAATATTTAATTATTCAAAAGAAGAATTTTCACGGAATGAGTTGTTACTACATCTCCGTAAATAAATTATTATTTAAGGCACCTAAAATCCAAATAGTAGATAGACTTATACACGAAATATCTACCTTTTTTGTAGAGTTTAAGGATGGCATTTCCTCATGCTTTGACCACCTCGCTCATGTGTACCTGGTGGGAGTCCTCACAACTTGAAGACTTTCCTACCGTTTCCTCTATAACACATAATATTCTCTTTCTGATGTGCATGAATTTTACCTCCTCATTTTTTTCCAGCGCCTTCTCGGTGTTTAAAGATGATTGTGGATACTGGAAGGCCCTAAGTATCTTCCTGGTGGTAGGCATCGCCCTGACAGGTCTAGGGATCCTCTTCAGGGTGTGGCCAATCCCGCTCTCACTCTTCGGTGACGAGAACACCGCCTCTAGGCTCAACGACCCAGACTTCATATCCTCAGTGTACGACCAGATTGGGGACCTCTCCAGGATTCTCATGTCCATCAAGGATGCCTCAGAGGAACCGAAGGAATAGTATGAAATAGAATTTATATGAGGTCATGTAATGCAAATTAAGCAAATCTCTGAGCTAACAACGAAGATGAATGATTGAGATACTTCTATCTGTTATTTTCTAATATGTAATATTATTTATTAATTTATTTGTAAATAATTAATCTGAAATTTATTTAATAAAATAACTTCGATCAGTTTAATATAATTTACTGAAATTATATATACCATTGATTCGATAGACCTTTGCTGATTAGGTTTACGAGTGATAATATTAACTCACTGATTAATAATGAAGTAAAAGAGACACGAATAGGAAGGGGATTAAAATTTTAAGGATGACACAGAAGGAAAGTAAAAGAAAGTAACACGAAATAGAGTTGAGAGAGAGAAAGTCTTATTAAGGAACAAACGACTGTAAAACACATGATCAAGTTAAAAAGAATGGGAGGAGGTATAATGGAGGAAAACAAAAGACGGAGGAGAACCAGGTACTTTAGGTAGTAGGCAGCTACCAAACAGGGAGGTACTACCGCCTGGGAAGATATTGGCAGCATAATGTGTTGTCTAATGGTAGACCCTGCTGCCATATGGCATCACGAAAATTGTGACCAAGTCCCTGGTTGCTGATCTGACTTTCTGCCTCATTTACGAACGATTGCAGGGTCTCAATTGTTTCTCTTACAACACACATACTGTATATCGTTTCTCACTCTTGACGTTTTTCAGTTTTGTTTTTATAGTTATTATTATTATTACTATTTTATTGCTATTTTTATCATAATTTATATTTATTTTTGGAAGTTATTATCATTATTATTATGTTTTCGCCCCCCAGGCCCCGTTGTGGATCAATGACTTGTTTTCGGGTGGGCTAATTCCCGTGAAATAAAGGTACAAGAGTATGGTTCAGGTACTGCCACCTCCTGTCATGTTAAACTGTCAGTAACACTGAAACGCGTGAGGCTGGATCACCCAGTACACGCCGGGTGACTTACTGTATATGCAAATTTAATGGGGCAAGAATACAAATTAAGATACAATTTTGATACATATTTTATTTTTAATTATAATTTAACCTACATCTACAAACACAACAGGCATGATAAAAAACAATAAAAACATTTACATATATATATATATATATATATATATATATATATATATATATATATATATATATATATATATATATATATATATATATATATATATAATGAAATCTCGTACCCAGGACGACGATCCACCATGCATTGACATCACTCGTCAAGAACCAACCAATCAGCACTCCTGAGAGAAATCGACTTGGTATGATAAACTTAGTAAAGCTCTGCTGATTGGTCAAAGGTAAAGAAGGAGCACAGAGGACAGCGTACACATATACTGTA